GGTGAACTGTGGTTGCCACCGAAAACCAGCTCGGCGATTGCGGGCTTCCCGCAAAAATTGTCCAGTTCCTATGTCCTGCTTTATGACACAGTTTGCCAAGTAAACTAGGAGCAGCAGAGAAATCCGGGTGGGGGGCTTGAAGGCCTCTTCTACTTGCTTACTATAATACTACTTTAAACTCTCACTGTTGTCCAAAAGGAGTATGTCCGCACAAAACAAGCAGCTCGCTTAAATTTTATAGCGCCTCTCGTTTCTGTTTCTCACTTAACCTGTATATTTCGTTTGGTCATTCGTGTTTCTCAGATTGATGGTTTCTGCTGTCATCCTAAGTTGGCTAGAAAAGGGCAAAAACATGAATTTTTCTTTCCAAGGCAAGCAGCAATAAAGCTACAAGTAAAGAATGAGTGTAACACCAAGTTAATAACCAAAGGCTCTAGAAAAAAATGTAAAAAAGAAACTGTCAGCATTCTTGTAGAGGATATTTATCATAACAGTGTCACCATCACTTCAAGTAAAGCAAACTCACCATCCTGCAGTTTGCGTGAGAGAAATAGCCCAAATCATTTGGCACAGAAAAGCTGTTGTTTTTTTCCTTAAATTACAGTTTAGTTTGCTCAAGATTGTAAAAGGAGGCTCTAGACTCATGTGATTGAAATAGTAATTTAAATTTGAACCTGATAAACCTCCTTTTCCTATGTTATATTTGTAATCTATTTCTAGGGAGGATTAACGGTTGTATGTTAATGATCTTGTTGCCAGTGGTTCCTGTGTTAAACCAATGACCAAGCACTGTGGATAAGCCTCATCACCGAGGCTTGTCTGTCCGTTGTTGCTTTGGACCTGAGAGCGCTACTAGTTTCAAATTGCAACATCTAATTTGTCAGCCCAGTTCATAGTGATATGTATGGTATGGCAGGTAGCAATGCCACCAGTGCTGACGTGCTGTGTTTTTCATGCTGTTTGTTTGGACGAAGCACTGAAGACGCTGAACCATACTGCGGCCCGCTTTGCACTATGGTTAGCCTGGTAGACGTCCTTTTGACCTAAACGTTGAGTATAGCCGAATTGTGCTTGGCCCATGACTTGACTGCAATGACAATACAAAGGTCAAGTCAGAGATTTCCACGTTTTCTGTTTTCTACCTTTTGTGATTCTTGAAAAACGTGAATGACATCCGTGCAGAGCAAGTTTGTCAGTTTATTGGTGGTTTTGCCACAGAACCATTTGTGATAGTAACAGGCTTCAAACATTTAAACAGTCAAAGTACTCTGCATGTGTTACTTAAGTATAGGCAGAGCAAAACTTCGATGCAGGCTTTTCACTTCAGTCGTGTGAGCTGCGCTTTGCTTTAGGCCTGGCTTTGCTTTAGGCCTGGCTAGACTATCCTGTGGATCTGTTTGTGTGTTCAGAGTTAAGGAAGTGCTTCAGTGGTGTTTCGCTGGGAGCTGTGCTGTGCACGTAGCATCTTGAAAACGGTTGAGCTGATCATACCAACTTTGTTTTGAGTTTACAAAGCCAGTGAATTGCAGTACTTTTATTGTTTTTCGTGTACTGAGTAAATGCCTGTAAAACAAATAGTTACCACAGAAGTATTCAGGAATCTCATGTTTGTGCGATACTTCAGATATAGCTGTCCATCTTGGTCTTCTAACGTTCCTGGCCCCGATTCCTACATCTAATGTTGTTTCCAGTGTTATTCCAAAGGTGAGGCTGTGCTGAGGTGCTGATTTTTTACCTTATTCCTGATCCAGATGGTGCTAGAGCATGCTGCTAGTTAAGAGGTAAGTCATTTGCATGGAGAAGAGGTATCTTTTACTGCCCATTCAGGGGTCAGTGACGTAATTTTGTGGCTTGACATGTGATCTTAGTAACAAAGGAACATGACGTTATTGGGGGAGGAGGGAAATTAATCTGTATAAATATTCTGAAACGTTTTTGGCAGAACAATTTGGAGATGCTTCTGTGAGAAAAAAACTGCTGCAACAGCAATGCAGAATGGGCTAAGTGCATACATGATCGGTCACTTGAAAGCCTCCAGACACTGGGAGGGTTTGCCTCAGAGATTTGTCTTCTGATTGGAGCGTTTTAATTTTGCCCTGTGTTTATGTGAGTCCTGAAATGCGGTGATCTTACGTAAGACAAGAAATCATGAGTGTTTTGATCGTTCCAGATTAGGTTTGGTATGATTGCTAATAACAATATAAATCTGATTGATCCAATATGACTTTTCATGGAAGAGGAAAGACACTGCAATTACTTGCCCTTGGAAGGCTGAAGTCCTAGATTTTAACACTGAGAACAGACTCCACGTTCAGTCAAAATAGTTGCGGATCTGAATGTTTTTAGATTTACGTACCACTCACATCAACATTTACAGACTTTTGCTGTTGGGCTATCATGACCCCATCAAACTCCTTGCACTCTCAGTCCTCTGTGAAAAGTCATATGTCATACAAATTTTACTCAATTTACAAAATGGTAGAAGTTTTCGCTTAAGTTCTTTATCCGCAACATACTGAATAATTTTCTCTGAGAAACTGGTATTTTTGGTTTTAATAATATTACTGTGAACACCTCTGCTGAGAAAAACCGATTGCTACTGAATGATTATTATTAATCAGGTTTAGACTTTAAAGTACTATTTTCATAATACGCACTTCTTTCAGTGATGCGTCTGAGTTTTATAGGCATAAGGTTTCTGTGAAACATTGCAAAATACAGAGTCTGCAACATCAACAGTGCTTTTTAGCAATACATTTATGCAGCAGCAGGCATGCTGGGTAGTTTATAAGCTTTTAATGAAATGCTGGCAGATATTAGGGTTTTATGGGCTGGAAAACAGTGCAAATCAAAGAGCTTTGCTTACTGTTTATAGCTTTTTCTCCCTGAATCTAACAATATTTATCTCACTTTTTCCATCTTGCATCTTGCTCTTTACATATTTACTTTCCCTTTCACTGATATATTCACAGTGAACAAACTGTTTTCCATGAAATATACCTAGAGCTAGAATATGCCTGCCATCATTTGGGTCCAGTTCCCTAGATTAGGCCAAAAATGCTTTGTGTCAAAGAAGGTATGGAACGACGATATTCCATATCCTATTGTGTCATAAATGTGTGTTTTTCCTAGTAAGGGTACATTTTTATCTTTAGCGAGTATTTCTGGGCATCATTAATTGTGCCTTCCTTATGGCCGCAGTGGATCCCTGAGGGATGCCATTTTTTCTCAGGATGCCAGGGATGCTGGCTACTACCTGTTCTTATCATCCTTTCAGCAGCAGAACTCTCTTCAGAGCACATCATCTCTATCAGTATGGTTTCAGAGTCTCATGTGCTAAAATTGTCGAAATACTTGATGGCATCACAGCGTCGTTGCAGCTTTCAAAGGGAAGGACCCTAGTATTCTCTTACTTACGTTTAAAGTCCATATTAAAACTAGAATGAGATTTCGGCCCAAAGACTCAGACATAGTTTGCTTTGAAAGGGGATAACGAAAGTAAGAGCGCTGCTACACCTAACGGTTCTTACACTAAAGCCGTGCAAATGTATCTTCAGTTAAAAAGTCAACCTTCAAAACTGGTTTAAGTCTTCTACCTCATCTAAATCTTTATGGCCTGTATAGCTCTCCTAACCATCGTGCCAAAGCATGCTTGTCCTGGCTGATTCCTAGAGCTGATTCTTTTCTTCTTCTGTCCTTTCAAAATTAATTTGCTTTGTCTCCTGCTCACATGCAGTATCTTATGGAGCTTGGCTCCATTTACATAGAGATCCTTATGTAAGTAGGTGAAGTACCGATACCACTCATTGGTTTTCTCATCAGCAAATCAAGTACATTTCAGTGTCTCATTTCACTATGATTAATGGCCCCCTGAGGCAACCTGGAGAAATGGGAGAGTAGATTAACTCAGCAGTCCAGGCTGTAATGGTGGCACTTCGTTATTAGGGAACAATGTTTTGCTAGGGCTGGATGCTGAAACACAGGTGAGCTTAACTTACTGTGGGTGAATGTAGAGACGTACCCTTGTTGCTAGGGTCTGTGTGGTAGTCTGACCAGTTTCTTAGGGAAAATTGTGAAAGGCTAGGGCTGGGAGGAGAGCTGGTTTAGCACTGGAAAATTTATTCTGTAGCTCAGTTAGGGAGAATGATGTTCTTTGATGATGACTGGCCTTATATTCTGCTAATATTAGAACAAGGTAAAGATCAATGTCTGTAAGATGATTCCTAATGTCAGTAAAGGAAAAACTTGTTTTTCAGGGAAGCTAGGAATGGAAAGTATAACAATTTTTTCCCTCAACTCTACCACACTCTGTAAATTCAGAATAAATAAATTATAGTATAGCTCTATACACAGAACATGTGATTGGTTTGGATAGATATGAGACAATGACGTATGTCACCTCAAATTAAATTATAGAAACTTATTTCATATTTTCCAGATTTGTGTTTTACATTCCAGTTAGCTTAATGTGCTTTACATGGGCTTAGATCACAGCAGCAGCACAATTTTTTAAAACCTTATCTTTTCCTTAGGGCATAGAACACATTCATCAAAGCTGTTGAAAAATCTCCATTGACACCAATAGACTTTAGCTCCAGCTGTTTGTACACGGTGCTGCTGTACTTTATTGGAAGTGAAACTGCAGCAGTATTTCAAGAGTGAGCTTTTTAATGTCTGATTTATTTTAGATAATCTAGCGTTAGATACTCTGTATTTGGACTTTCAGTCAAAATCTGTTAGATGTTAATTGTTCTTTTCAATTTAGACCTACATCAGTAGATGGCATGTAACTATTGTCCCAGCCCCTGTGGGAAACGAGAGGGCAAGAGATCAGAGAACAATTAGATCCCAGCTTGCAGGGTGGCAGCAGAAACATTGCAGAAGGGGGAATTAGGAGAAATTTCAGATAACCCTTTTGATTAGACTTCCTTTAGCCTGACTTGATGTGCTGTTTGGTCAGAGTTTCTTCGTAACAGTATCGTGTCTCTTTTCTTTTTTACCTGGGTGTAGTCTGTACCATTCCTTCATCTTTCTTTTCTTTTCGTCTTCTGGTGCCAAAATCAAGTTTCTTGACATAATCTACCAAAAATATCATCCCGGTACCATGAGGCTGACAACCTTGTTTGTTCTGTGTGATGAGCTCTTGCTCTGTAGCCATCTTATCTCGCTGCGCTGTAAACTCTTTAGGCAAGGATTTTCTGCTGTTCAGAGTTTGTGCAGTGTCCTGCTCACTTGGGCATGGTCTGAGTTGGCCCTTTGGTACTATTGTCACTAAGCATGGTTAACAGTCATTTTAGATCACTTGGGAGCAGTTTTGAAGTTTTTCTCTTATCAGGAATCTTTCTGATTAGTGTTTTTCTAACATTTACATTTTCAAGTGTATGAAAAGATCCTTCGCTTCTGACAGCATGAATCTGTGCGCTGTACATGCAATTTGCCCTGGTAATTACTTATGTATGGTGATAACCATAGCAACATCCCAGGTAGATAATGTCATGCAAATTACTGCAGCTCCAGGGATGGAAGATGTTAATACAAGTATGTACTTGTACCCCTGCTCTTCAACATTTTGCAGTGACTCCCCCCTTCTCTCCCCTCCCCCATACATGTTATTTTTAAATTTGCTTTCCTCAATGTGATCGGGAAGGAAAAGAAAACCTCTTGCTATTTTTCTCATTGGTATTCATATACAAGGAGGGGGAGGGTGGTCCTTCAATGTTTCTGTCATGAATAATTTTGCATGCACGGTGGAAATTCCACAGTGTATGTAGGGCATAAAAGTCTACAGACTTGGATATGTTGCACGGCCGTGTTGTGCTTAAACCCAAGTTCTGCATTTCTAAATGCACGTGAGCATGTAAGTGCGAGCATGCAGGGGTGGAACTGTAGCCACAGATGTTTTGACTGAGGTGTAAACCTTCCCCAAATCATTTATAGAGGAGATGGGAGAGCAGCTTTGTTTTTCAAAGCACACATGCTGTGGCTGAATACTTATCAGGGCCAGTACATTGTCACTGAAATGAAGAAATAGCAGAGAGGAAGCTGGTAACAGTTATCCCTTGTTTGATCATAAGCAAGGGAAACACATAAATCTATTTGAATGCCAGTCTGCATATACACTAGTCATTGTGTATCCTTACAACCCTGAAGGCCTTAAAATAAGGTAAACCTCTAACCCACAACTAGGATATTTTATTAAAGATATAAAACCTCAAGCAAGAAAACTAGTTAAGTAAAGGTTTTGCTTTGCTGATAAAGAATGAAATTGTTGCTGAATCTTTGGCTTTGTGTTTAAATAGTGGGAATGTGGGTGTTAGTCCTGCAGTAAGTGCTGAAGTCCCTGATTACTGAAGGGTGAACTGTCCCAGCCATTAAACCAGGAGATACCCTGACTGAAGAGAGCGGAGATTTGCAGAGTCGGAGAAAGACTGAGCTATAGAGGTACCTATGTCGTTAGATCCCAGTTTGTAAGAAAAATGCTCCCAAGGTAAGATGTTCTGTTCACTAGGCCAGCCCTGAATTGTCTTCATTGTAGAAACATGCTCTCTTTCAAACAGAGACAGGGTGGGGAGTGGAAACAAAATTACTTAAGCCACTGAGCAACTTGATTTTCACTAGAGGTCCCAATCTGTATCCTGCACCAGAAATAAATATATAAACTGGGCTTTACATCATCTAACAGAAACTATTGAGTATAATTGACTGCTGGAGTTTTTGCCTGTCTTTGCCTATATTACATATAATGTAATTTCTGTATTCAGTCTGAAAATCTTGCAGTGGTTCCCTGAGGATGGCTTCTCCTTAGACTCCACATCATATTGAAGAGAATAGCAGATGCTTTAGAATTGCAGGGTTAGCAAAACCGAGGTCCTGCAAGTTAAATGCACTCTTCAAAATAAAATTGATAATAGCAGCACTGCCAAACCTCTTAAAAGTTTGTTTATAGACCAGTTTATTTGAATGACCGATATCACAACCAGACGAAATATTTGACTGTAATTATCCAGCACTCAGCTTTCCACGGTTAGGATGCTTCAGAACAGAACTGACCTCTACCAAAATAAGTTTGGGGGCAGTAGGGATCAGCATTTATATAATATCTTGTTGTTTCCCTCCTTTTTTCTTGTTTAAGCCTATGTCTCTCTGGTTTTGGTTTATTATTTTTGATCAGAGACTGGGGTATTATTAACAGTGAATTAAAAATGAGAAAGATGCAAGTAACCTGAGAATGTCTGAAAAATGGTGTCAGTTGTTAATGAAACTGTGCTACTAATAGTAGCATAGGCTTGCAATTTAAGATATCAAAGCTCATCACAGAACCTGACTGCTGGCATTGTAAACCTTCCCTCAGAGCTGCAGTATCATTCCAACAGAGGGAGAAAGGCGTGCACGAGAAAAGATTTGCCTAGGTTAACGTCACATGTGGGATTAACGTCTGTGTTTAATGATCCTGCTTCCCTGTTGTAGTAATAGTATTGCCTCCCCCCCTCCACTACATAATCTGAGTGGTTTTTTTTGTTTCTGGCTAACATAAAGAAGGGAACCTGCTGGCAGGTGAAAAAGCACTATGTTAGCCAGCTATGCAGTTTATATATTTTAACAAGTGGGTATATTTTATCAGAAGGCAAAGGAAATAATTATATCAAAATCTTATGTCAAAAAAGCGTGTTTAATGAACAATATCTGATGTGCATGATTTTATATACTGTCTCTTCTCCTTACTTTTTCCGCCTCACCAGTTGCTCACCTTTGCTAGTTTATGACATGATGTTCAAGGAAACATTGTGTTATCACATGCAGCAGACATCACGGAGTGAAATTGGCTGGTCATTAATAATAATTGTAAAACCAACCCTAAATAAAGGATGCTTGCGGCCACAACCTCTCCTTTCTGGGATTAGATGTGGAACAACATCCACAGCTCTCACCTGTTGATCATTTTAACCCAGGGTTACAATCTCCATATGCAAAGGCCAAGTGTAAATGGGGCCTATGATAGGGCTGGGAGAGATGCATAAGGCCCATTGCTGCAGAGCAGCCTGCCACGTAGGTATCCATTGGAACAGGGGAGCTCAGCTTTCCTTGCTAGATCTGCTCTTTCTTAGGATATCATTAAAACTGCTACTGGCAAGCTACTGGTTAAGATTTTGTGTCTAATGTGCCTGGGGAGAAATGGCATTAAAAAGTCCTGATGGCAGTTCGCTCCTGAAGTGCCGGTGGATTTCTCCTGGACTCCTGTAGGTATTTCTGAAAGGCTGGTACAACTGTGAGCAACCATGCCTGTGTGGCTGCCTTCCAGTCCCTCCTGGCAGTTGATGTTTCCTACCTCTCAGCCTTCAGATGTATTAGTTGTTTCCCTGCTTGGATTAAGGGCCTCATTTTGACAATATTAGGGACCAGCAAAATGGCCTGCAGGTCTAAAGCAAGCGACTTTATCAAGTGTAAAGAGCTACGACAGAGGTCCCACAGGCTCATATCTCTGTGGTCTGGGGAGCAAACGGGAAGAAACAGGAAGACTTAGCCTTCAGTGGGCAGCTTCACCTTCTAGGAGAAGCAGAATTAGGCTGGCTTGAGAATGGTGGGGATACCACCTGTAAGTTTAGTTATTGTGTGCTGATAATACATAGCACAATTCCCCGCTAAAATAAAGCTACCTGAGAAATGAGGCACACCAGCTGCTAACAAGTACTGTCTAATGTCCACTGAAATCAGCTGAAATCGTTTCAGTAACTTTAGTGAGTTTGGTTTAATTCTCAATGGTGCAAAGCAATGCTGCGTGGCTTTTAGGACAGGCCATGCAGAATGCCATAAGTGATATGAATTCCTTTTGCTCTTTTTTGGATCAGTAATTTTTAAGTTGGTCATACAAACAAATCATAAGCTACACACAAACTTAAATGCAGATATAGTGGACATTACTGCAGTAATGGAGAACCTGCACTCTCTTAACCGGACAACTGAAATAGAAATAGGCATCTCAACAGAATTGTCCTTGGTGGAACATTCAAATTCTTTGTCTTTCCAAATCTTTAAATTCTAACTTGACTGCAAAGGATGCAAAAGTATAATTACACTAAATTATGCTTACAAAGGGCAACACATCAACTAAATTTCTTCAGACAACAACATCCGAATGCATCCAAAGACTTAGCTGAAAGACTTTCATATGGGGCCTTGTGCTCACTACGTTTTCCGGGTTTTGTTTTAGATTCACTACTTGGAATTTACCAAACCACTCAAACAGAATGCACAGTGATTGCAAAGTTTTGAGCATGTGTATAAACAGCACTTGTATAAAAAAGGTTAGCCACTTAAAAATATTAATTAAGGAAAGCCTACATTTCCAGTTATTATTTTCTTTTGCAGCCACCAAGGCCAGAGCATACAGGTTCCTAATTGATCACATGTATAGCGAACTGCGCAGACAAAGCCAAACATCTATGGAAAAATATATTAACAAGTGCCAGAGTTGTGAAGTGAATAGAAGATTATTTAGATAAACTGAATTATGGCCTGAAAATAGCTGCAGTACATAGTTGTAAATGTCAGTGAACCAGACAAGCTAATTCCTTGCCTGTGAAGGAATGTTGGAATGCATATTATATGCCGTTTATGTTTAAATATAAATAGGGGATTACCTTTTAGGTTGTGAAATGGAATCGTATATGCAACAAACAGTACATCTAGGGTCTTTTATGAGTGAAAACTGTTATGTCAAATATCGTTAGTTTAGTAGGGTTGATGGGCTTTATTCAAGGTTCCTAGAATTTATCTGCCAACCATAAATAATTATTTAACAACTAATAGGGCAAGGCCAGAAATATAATAGCTTTTATGTTGAAATTAACATCAAGTGATCTGTAGACATCTGCTAAGCAAGCCAAATGTGGTCTATGTGCTGTATGTTTTGCCTCACTGCCTCAAAATAACAAGCAGTGCTTATATGTGGAGGGGCAGTTTTCCTTGTTAAAATGGAAAAAAATGTTCTGATAGAAAATCACTTGCACGGTTAGGATCAAATGTGTGGTGAACGTTAAATAGCCCTACAAATTTAAATAATGCTTGATGCTGAGATTTCAGCTTTGCAAATGCTCTTGTTTCCTGATATGTGCTTAGTTTGGCTCAGAGGGAAATGAAAGTTCTTTTTTGTTAGAGAGA